TAAAAATTAAAAAGTTTTGTATTTTCCTGGACATGGATTTGCATGGTCTATATTTTGCATCTAAATATGCAGTATATGTATACAGTAATTCAGCTTCATTTGTTATAAGAATGCCTTACTTATTTCTATAGAATCAAATTTATTTTCAGATTTTATAATAGCTATACATTCTATTAATTTATTTAATAGTTTTATATGGCTAACAATAATGAAATACATAATTATCAAAACTTAGTGAAACATGTGTTTAGGGTTGTTCTTCTTTTTCTTTTTGAGTGTCTTACAATGTTTCCCAGGCTGGGTTCAAACTCCTGGCCTCAAGCAATCCTCCTGCCATGGCCTCCCAAAGTGCTGGGATTATAGGCATGAGCCACTGTACCCGACCAACATGTGTTTTGTTTTAATGCACAATTTTACCTTCCATTTTATCAATTGAATGTTTGCAAAACCAATTTAGCTTCAATATTTGAAACACACATGATAGTTTCCTTCCATTGTGGGTAATTGCTTCAAATGAGAATATTATACAAGTGAGAGAAAACACGGTTCAAGTATTCTGGTCAAATATTTTGCTTCTTGTGAGTATCATAAGGCAGAATACCTTTTCCAATTTACTTCTATTTTCTTCTCTACAGTTAATATATTTAGTGTTTATTGTGATGTTTCCTGAAAGAAAACATCATGTAAATTCTGCTATAAAATTGAGCCATCTTTGTGAAAGTGATCCAATTAAAATTACAAAATCTGTCTGGGAGTCATTTACAGAGGTGTGAATGTATCTGGCATCTTGTGTAAGCAGCCAGTATACACATTTGGCCCTATCTGGAGAGTACTGTGCGTGTCTCTATAATTTCTTAATTCTTTCCAGAATTAGATAGAAGAATTAACTTGCAACTGGTCTTTAGTTCCACCCCCTCCAGATGCAAAGAGCAGGTCCATCACTGATGGATATAAGGAGTGAGAAAAGAGAGTTACTATTTATTCCTCTTACTATGTAATCCAGGCATCCTCAAACTATGGCCTGCGGACCACATGCGGCCCACCGAGGACATTTATCCGGCTCACCAGGTGTTTTTGCCACCGCTGCCTGTCCTGCTTAGCAGCCGACTGGTCCCAGGCCCACAGTGCGCATGTGTGGAATGTGCGCCGCACTCTCCAACGGCCCCCTTTTTTTTTTTTTTGGTGCCCCCTTAGTGGCACCAACCGTCTGAGGGACAGTGAACTGGCCCCCTGTTTAAAAAGTTTGAGGACCCCTGATGTAATCTATTAAGCTCTCTGGGCCAATCAAAATCATGTGAGCACTGAAGTTCAAAATCACAACATAGATGGGTTGATTTATAGTGACATTGTTGCTTAGGCAACAAGAAATCTCAATCTCCTATTAAAGAAACTAGCCAACAGCAAGTATTTAAAATATTTATTTTATATATTTGGTATTTTGAGTCAGTTGCTTTGGGTTATTATTATTATTTTTTCTGAGAATGTCTCTCTGATAGATGTTGAGTTTTAATACAAATTTAGGTGATAAAAGAATTAGGGTTGCTAGATGCTGTAACACAGGGGCTTAGCACAAAACAGGCTTAATTTTGTTCACATAAATCTGGCGGAGTGATGGTGAGGTGAAGAGCAGGCCCTGTATCTTTGATATGCCATTCTTCAGGGACTTGTTTATGTAGATTTGTTTAGAGACCCAGATTGGTAGAGACTTTGCTGCTTCTAACTCTGGGGGCTCCCTGGCAGTTGCCACCCAGCTGGCAATGGAGAAAGTGAGAATGTAGGTAACAGTGCAGGAAATTGTCATAGGCCGGGCCTGAAAGGAGTGTGATCTTGTCTGCTTACATTCTGTAACCTGTTATATGGTCAAACCAAATACAAAAGGTGTGGGTAAAGGTCTTCCCCAGGGTAGTCATTTTCCAGAAGCTTCTCTGTGAAAGGGCAGCATGCATGTTTGGTGGACAGCTAGCTTCCCCTGCCGTGGTCGGGGAGTGACTATGATTGCTGTATTCAAGCAACAGCTGACAATGATCCTGCGAGTAATGATATAGAAAATAAAGCTAGTTTTAAAAATGGAAACTAAATATTATGAACTCCACAATTAAAGAAATGTAAGACTATATCTTTAGAACTAGAGAATGTGTGATAGCATCAGGTCAAATCCCTTCTAGATTATTAAAGAGATATTCTTGGATTTCTGAAATTCAAAAGGCTCCCCGGACCCTTTTCCCTGTGGTGATGGTTTTTAAGTGAAGGGTTAAAAAAAATCCCTCTTTCTATATTTACTCAAATAAAATTGCTAAGCAAGATGATCGTTTGCCTTTGAACATGTATGCAACATACTATTTTACATTATAACAATTATGGCATATAAACATTCTATGATGCTAAATTAAATTTTCTGTAATGAATAACTCTGTCTTTAAAGTATTTTACAAAGTACTTCCAAGTCCTTATGCCACTTGAGCCTCTTAGTGACCCTTCGAGAAAGACAGCACAGGTATTATCAGCCCACTTTTTAGGCAAGGAACATGAGACTATCAGTGTTTAAATGCTTAGCTTAAAATCCTTTGGATTATAAGGGTTCCAATCCAAATAATCCAGGATTATAGTGGAAAGTGTAATTCCGTAATGTTCTTTTCTTTACCCACAATGACTATATCTATCTGGACACTGAAAAGGACCTTCGTTTAGATTTCTCAGGTTGTACAATTGTAAAAATGACCACTGATGCAGGTGATGTGTGACTCATCAAGGTGACTAAAGTGACAGATCAGCATTGCTGATTTATTCATGTTGCTGGTGCAGACATATCTTATGTATCGCCTTTTAAATATTTATAGAGGAGAATTCCAAGAGTGGACAGATATGAAGCCCTTTTCTTTTAATATGCAAAGCACAAGCCATCAAAACTGTAGCTCCAATATACTTGTAAATGAACCCAGAGCTTTTCTAACGTATTCCCAAATGAACTACAGCTTTTTTACTAGTCTTCAAAAATGCTTTCATTTAGTATAGTTGACTTTTCACCTTTTTATTCGTTGCCTCTTTGTTGGGTTTTTATTGCTGAGAACTGTAGGGTACAGAGATAAAAGACAGAGGCTCTTTTCCCAAGAGGATCATAGTCCCACGAGGGGAGACAGAGTAAGCAGAGCCTTTGGATGGTCTGAGGAGAACAATGAAAGGAGGACACGCATGAGCCCGACAAGCCCTAAGAGTGGAGGCTAGCTCAGCCTTGGGTGGGGAGAGAACATGATGCTATGAAAGGTCTTCTGAAGGATGCCTGAATCAACTCTGGAAGAATGAGTAGGAGTTCAAGTGGACACGCAGTACTTTAAAAAATGTAATATACAAAGCGCTGTCACATTATAAATATTTGTCTTAAAATTCTGAAATAATACTAAAATATCATATTCACATCTGGGTTTTGGAAAAGGAATTTAAAGGATAGCTCAGTAGAGTTTTTCTTTCTTTTTCTTTTTTTTTTTTAATTTCAAAATATTAAGAGGGAACAAATGTTTTTATTACATGGATACCTTTTATAATGCATGAGTCAGGGCTAGAGGTGTGTCCATCACCCAAATAGTGTTCATTGTACCTGTTAGGTAGGTTTTTGCTCCTCCTCTGCTGTCCCCTCCTCCCTGCTTGATTTCCACTGAGTTTTACTTCCCTCTGTGCACATGTGTGCTCTTCAATTAGTTCCAATTTAATAGCTGAGTACATGTGGTGTTTGTTTTTCCTTTCTTGAGATACTTCAGTTAGACTAATGGTCCCCCAGTTCCATCCAAATTGCTGTGAAAGGCATTAATTCATTTCTTTTTATGGCTGAGTAGTACTTCATAGTGAATATATACCACATTTTGTTAATCCACTCATGAATTGTTGAGCACTTGGATTTCAGATCTTTGCAATTGTGAATTGTGCTGCAATAAATATTTGAGTGCAGGTGTCTTTTTGATAAAATGACTTCTTTTCCTGTGAGTAAATACCTAGTAGTGGGATTGCTGGATCAAATGGCAGGTCTACTTTTAGTTCTTTGAGGAATCTCCATACTGTTTTCCACAGAGGTTGTACTAGTTTGCAGTCCCACCAACAGCATAAATGCATTCCTTTCTCTCTGTATCCACGCCAGCATCTATTATTTTTTGACTTTTTAATAATAGGCTTTCTGACAGGGGTAAGGTGATATCTCATTGTGGTTTTAATTTGCATTTCCCTGATGGTTAGTGATATTGAGCATTTTTTTCATATGTTTCTTGGCAATTTGTCTATCTTCTTCTGAAAAACTTCTGTTCATGTCTTTTTGCCCACTTGTTACAAGCATTGGAGAACAAACTAAATAAAAAATAAGTAATATGCTTGGATTCATAATTACCTTGATTTTATCCCATACTTCCTCACTTACTGTGTTTTACATATATTTCCTGATTTGTAAAGTTTATCTTTCTCTTTACTCTGTCCCTGTTCTGCCTCTGGCTATACACCATTAATTCAGTACCTACATCTGCTGTGATGCACTTTTTATGTGTGTGTGGTTTTTTTTCCTCAATAGTTACTTATACCCTATCTCATTGAGTCAGTCTTCATCCTTCATTCCTTCAGAGATTTCTGTGGCACTGACATTTCTGCAGGTGTTTTTTCTTTCTTTCGTCTTTCTTTATTTTCATTGCTAGTCTTAATATTTATTGCCTACATAGAAGTTACGCATGGTTGTTCACGGTGCATTTGCACATTAAAACCCTTGGTCTGTTCAAAGTATGTTCAGCATGGAGAACATAGAGATAGGTCTGAACAAGAGATAGGTTTGTAAAAGTGCCCAACTATTTGAAGGCCCAATCCAAGAGTGGCTGGTTGTAGGGGACGTGGCTGTAGGGAACAGCCCTCAGCACAGACTTAATAGCAGCCTGAGAGATTTGGAGGGAGGATGAATTCTCCTTCAGAGTTATTGAGCATTAGACCTAGTCACCAGGGTTTTATAAAACTTTCGTGTAATTTTCTTTTAAAAGAAATAGATTCTCGTCTTCTGGAGCTGTTCACTGGAAGTTCTGCATGAATGTAGAAGGGAAAGGAAAAGATGGAAAAAGTAGAGGACCTAGCAAGATCACTTTTTAGCTTCGAGTCCCTGTATACTGTAAGTCAATTTACTAACACGCTATAAAGTCTTTAAAAGTTTTTTTTCCTATTCTATGACCCAACAAGCTGGTCCAATGTTAATCTAAATATTTACTGGTCTTTCATTAGAAGAGTATAACAGAAACAACATATTATATTTAATATAAATATAAAAACTGCCTCAAGACACATCTAAGAACCACTGTATTCTATCAATGTAGATCTCCAGCACATGAGTTATGCTAGTCCATAGAAGTTTAGAATTCTTATCCATTATATTAAACTCATTGGTTTTCTCTATTATTTTTGCTACTTTAAGTAGCAAAATGTAACAATCAGTTAATAATATCAAAGGAACATGGCTTATCCATTTTCTCAGTGGAGGTAAACAGCGAATTTCCAAGGCTACTTTAATTTTCAGTTTTTAAAGAAAAAATCAAGATCTCAAAGTAATATCTATATTATTCACTAACCACTTTTTAAAAGTGAGAGTTTTCTAGTTTCCTCACAAATATCGACTTGACACAGTTCTAGAGTTATAAATATATTAATAGTAACATATTTTCAGTGACCGTTTTTTGCTCACATAATAGTACTTTTCAGGAGACTTTATGTATTTTGAATGACTGTTATTGTTTAACATTGATTCACTTCATTGTCTTGTATACTGGCTGGAAAGTTTTAGAAATAAATTATAAATAAATTCTAGATTCTGAGCATAAGTTTCCCCTATGTAAAACTCTGAACTTCAAAAGATTTTATTTCAGATTGATTTCACTGGTTCTCCTTTTGAAGATTGAAGGGCTTCTAGAATTCCTAGAATAGCATTCTATGCTCTCTATAAGACATAAGAGTCAATTCATGAATGTTGTTCACTGGGTAGGTTAAGTCTGATAAATTGCTGTGTCAGCTGTCCCTTGACACCCTTCGTTAGAACTGGAAGCACTGTGGTGAAATGATGTCATGGGAACGCCAGGCTCTGGGGTTCTGCAAAGGAGCAGGTGGCGCCGGGCGAGGCACCGGTGGGTCCCTGGGAGTTCTCGCAGGCACCTCTCTGGCTGCGCTGGGGGCCCTTTTGTTAGTAGCTGGCCACAGTCACAGTCATTTAGGAATGGGCAAGGGGACAAGCTGGACAGATTATACTAGTGTTTAAGAATATACATGTCCACGTAAACAAAACATTAGCATCCTCCTTGGTTTCTGGCATGATTTTAAAGTGGAAGTGTTTAACTATAATAATAAAGTGGAGATTTCCAGATTGTCCCCACAATATCTAAAATCTTGATTGCAATCTTACTTTAATGGAGTTATGTAAAAAAAAGAAAAAGCTTGAAAACCTCAGAATATTAACCTTATTACAAAATGTTATTTCAAAGAGAAGAACATTTTATGTCTCCAGAAGAGAGCGAAAGAAGTCAAATGACCTGAGCTGGGAAGGAAACCAACATTTGTCCATAAACGAGACTTTAGACATTAGTTCACTTGACCGCCACAATTGTTACACAGAGATAATTTGCACCAGATTTTACAGAAGAGGAAACTGAGGCTCACAGAAGTTGGATGACTAGATTGTGGATTGGAACCCAGACCTTTCTGGCTCCAGTGCCCCTTTCTGTCACCTCTTCCCCCATCATCAGTCCCGGCTCTGCTAAAGTATGTCGTGTGGGCTTCCTGAGCCTTCCATAGTTCTGCTCCAGTTAATTGGCGCTGCACAACAAACCCCCCCAACTCCTAATGGTTTAAAACGACGATTTAAAGTCTCTTATACTCCACTGGGCTCCACTGGGTTTCTCACACAGCGGTCTCGGCAGCTTTCATTCCGAGAGAGGGAAAGCGGAAGCTGCCAGGTCTCCTGAGACCCGCCCCGGAAGTCCCGGGTACCATTTGAGCACATTCTCCCAGTCCAAGGAAGTCCCCGCCTCAACGGGTGGGAATTAATTATACCTCTTAATGGGAGGAACTGTAAACATCCATGACCACGTGGCATCAGTCCCTATTCTTTTCCATTTTTAACATGCTGTGTTATATTGTCTTAGTGAAGTGCTGGAGAATGTTAGAAAATGAAATTTAAAATTTTAAATCTCTAAAGTCTGTCTTGTTTTTACCATTGTGAAGAAGATATTTGAAAGGTGAAAATGAGCATGAAGATGTTTTGAAAATCTATACATACAACCCCCTATAATCTAAGGTGTTATTACAATTCATAGAAGATTCTAGGATTTATAATAGAGCTTCTCATAGATTAAAAAAGTAGATGATAAAGAGATATAAAATATAATCTCTAGTTCATAGGGCATATTTTTTTTTCTAGATTTACAGAAGCACTAGTGGTTTTTTGAAAGGCAATATATGATTTTTTCATTCATTAGGTGTTCTGTTGTTGTTTGTGTGTGTAAAATCAAACAATGAGTAAAATTTGAATGCCATCAAAACTTCCATCCTTTGCATAGTTAGTAGTATTAGAACCAGATGTCCTTACACAAAGAAGTCTGTGGACTTGTATAGAAAAGGAATGATTTTGACTAATGTAGAAATCCCTGCTAACTCAAAAGGCATTCCCTTAAAATGAGAGCCCTCAGCTAAACCTTCTCTTTCTAAGAATCATTCTAACCTTGAATATAGCTTTCATAAAAATTCCAAATCATTGATAAGCTAGCATTTAATGTAATAAATTATTACTCTTAACTCCTTACTCTTCTAAAACCTAATTTATATTGGCATCTCAACATATTTTTGCAGTATGCTAAAATGAGTTCCAAAACAAAAACCGAAATGGTGCTACAAAACAGGTATCCTCCTGATATTTCCTTTTTAAGGGAAGGGGGAGTGAAACTTTAGGACTTTATTTAGGTAGATGTTCTTGAAAATTAACCCTAAGTGATCTGTTCTTAAGTGACTCAAGTAACTGACATTATAAAGATCTAAAGATTTCTTTTGTGTGTTTTGGTTCTTTTTTTTAAGTTGTTTTATCATATGTGTCCTAGCCAGGTACAGTGGATCATGCCTGTAATCCTTACACTCTGGGAGGATGAGGATTGCTTGAGCTCAGGCTGAAAGAGCAGGACCCTGTCTCTACTAAAAATAGAAAAATTAGCTGAGTGTCATGGTGCATGCCTGTAGTGCAACTACTGGGGACGCTGAGATAAGAGGATTGCTTGAGCCCAGGAGTTTGAGGTTCCTGTCAGCTACGATAACACTGTTGTGCTCTACCCAGGGTGACAGAGCAAGACTCTGTCTCAAAAAAATAAAAAAAAAAAGTGTGTATCTACTCAAATTGCATCGTCTGTCATGAAATCTGAGGATTAGAAAATGCATAAACCATGCCACAGGCATATTCTTTTTTTTTTTTTGAGACAATCTCACTTTGTTGTCCAGGCTAGAGTGAGTGCCATGGCGTCAGCCTAGCTCACAGCAACCTCAAACTCCTGGGCTCAAGCAGTCCTCCTGCCTCAGCCTCCCGAGTAGCTGGGACTACAGGCATGTGCCACCGTGCCTGGCTAATTTTTTTTAGTAGAGACGGGGTCTTGCTCTTGCTCAGGCTGGTTTCGAACTCCTGACCTCGAGTAATCCGCCCGCCTTGGCCTCCCAGAGTGCTAGGATTACAGGCGTGAACCACCACGCCCGGCAGCCACAGGCATATTCTATTTAGCTCACCTGTTTTAAAAATTGGGTTATTGTCAGTTTCTACTCAGAAGATTTTATATAAAAGTTTGAAATTCTAGCTTCTCTATACAAATCAGTGTATCTGGTAATATTGGGCTAGCATTCCCACTTGAACATAAGGATTTGAAGCTGAGTAGAACTGACCCTCTTTAGATGGGGCACGGACATCCTGGTCACTGTCACACCCACTTCCCATACTTATGGAACCTGTTTGGCTGTAGTAGGCCACAAGCGTTTGAGACCATGAGAGAATTTTGGCTAAAAGGACCCAAACATGCCTCTGATGTTTGATGATCAAAGACAATTTGGGGGCTACTACTGAGTGTATCAATGGTACATTAGTGACAAAGGGTGGAGACTCTCAGGTGGATTGGTGCAAAGAGAAATGAATGGCCATGGTACAGATTCTGCCTGTGTTTGAAGCATATCATACAACCTGAATTTGGCAGTAATACTTCAGCACAGATTGCACCTGCTGCTTTAAAAATAATGCTTATCAGTCATCTCTAGCATCATATTGATATCGAGGCCAACACAGCCTAAAAATTTGACTTTGCTCGATGCTCTTGTAAAGCTTCAAAGAAAGGAGAAAAATAATTATAATCTCAGATAACTTTGAATTCTGAATTTGGGAATTTAGGCAAATGAACTAAATAGTAGTCAAATCCTTTGATCAAATTTCAGATTGCCACAGTCTTCCAGAGATGACATATTTGACCTGTATTTTTGTTAAAAATGTGAGTTCCACAGTGCTTGTCTTTATTAAATTTTTCTGATAGCATAGTTATAATTTTCATACCAATTGGTGATTTTCATGATTAAAAATAGCTATAGTTTTACTTTCTAAAACAGAGAAATGAAATGGATCAACACTACAGAAAGTCATCAAAATTAGTTTTTAATAACAGTAGCTAACATTGAGTGCTTATTATGTGCCAACTCTATGAGCTAGATAGCCCTACTTTTAGCTAAGAGAATTGAGGTATAAGGAGAGGAATGATATTCATATAAATTCACAGAGAACAAAGATTTGTTTCCAGGGATTTGTTTAAAGAATATAAAATGCTTTTAAATGGTTATAGTACTGTTTTATAGATTTAAGTATGGTTTTAATCACTGGACTCCAACATCTCTCAGTTTGGGCTCTCTTCAGACTCACATCACAGATGCCACCAAATTTCAAAAAGATCTGTTTTCAGGCATTATAAGAATGTGCAGTAGTCCAAAGTTTATGGGGCTTCTGTATGAAACATTAAAGATTTCTAATTATAGTGAAAATGACAGATGGAAACAAAATTCATCAATATGAAGATTGGTGGAAACTGTGGATTTTCCTTATAAAATAAAATCATGGGTTCCCACTCTTAACATTTTCTCTTATGAGATTGTTTGAATAGAGCCAGTGTACGTTCTCAAAGTGATTTTAAGAATGTGGTCATGGGCAAAGATGAACATTAAGGTGAGAATATTTGGATTTATTTAGAATGGCATCTGGTCACAGAATTACAACCTATACACCATACACAATAGCAAACATCGACAACAGCGCTTCCTATAGTTCAGAACTGTCTTGACTTCTGACTCTGAGGCCTGGAGGGGATGAATATAAGGTGGATATAACCTGATACTTAGGCAGGAACAATGGAATAAGTCCTCGCTAATTAAAGGGTCCCCAGACCAGCCACATGGGCATCACCTGGAAGCCTGTAAAGACATTCAGAATCTCAGACACCAGCCCCATGGAAGCAGAATTTATACTCACATCAACAGACGATTCCTATGCACACTGGGGTCTAGAAGCACTGGGCTGCAGAGATTGAGTTCTCCCAGTCATTGGCTGCACTGCATTGATTAAATCACTCACTATACTCATACTTTCCTTTCCTCCATTCCGAGCTACTTACTGCATGTTGATTCTGCACAACCTGCTTCTGTGATTTTCATTTTTAGTTGCCTATAAAACAGGATGATAATAATACCTGTCTCATGTTATTATGTGTTAAATGAGGCAATAAATGTAAAGTATATAGAATATTGTCCACATATAGTATATGTGATTAATAAATGCTTATGATGGTTATTTTAGTTATTTCTCTGGTATAGTATATTATCATATTGATTGCCTGACAAGTGAGATAAAAAATTTCTCCCAAAACTTCCTGTACAGATATATAAATATGTTTTTAAAAATTAGAAGGTTAAAAGGAGATACATTTTCCAAGAGTTAAAGAGCCCAGTGGAAAAAACACTGGAATGGGAATTAGACAGACTATACTATAGTCCCGATTCTTTTGACCTTGAGCCTGACATTTAACATTTTGGGATTTATAGATATTATATGAGAATATTAAATGCTTTAAAATGATTATAGGACTGTTTTGTAGATTTATGGAACTGGCAATAGCCAATTACTATGCAAACATTATCTTAATCCACGAGAAGTTGTGATAGTGTGTTCAAGATGTCTTTGCTGTTGTGTGGTACTATATTGAGAACTTTTAGAAACTTCAGAAAATCTTTCAGATTATTAAATTATTGTTTTAGCCACAAACATATGCCCTGATTTCCCGTATCTAATCCCAAGAAGTAATTTAGAATCTGTTCATTATGTAATAAGGCCAACACATGTATTAAGGCTTCTAAGAAGAATCTGCTCTC